TCAATAGTGATTATTAAATCACAAACTATACTTTTCCTTTCTTACATGTATACCTAAATATGTATGCATGTACGTACATTAAGGTGGTCAAAAAAAATTGCTAAATACCGGGGCACCTTCCAAAATTTGTCCTCTTGCCGAATGAGGTGCTGGCACCAAACTATACTTTTTCAACTATAAATTTAGACGATACTCATGAAACGTTTATATTTTACTCTAGAAGTATGTTGTACATATATTAGCCAAACGATTGGTTAAGGAACCTTAGAACATTTAGAAAATTTCAAATTTAAAAAATATTACAAGCTCAGTTGTCTTGTCAACAGTGGCTCTTTATAAAGAAATCACCAATAATTTTGCTAATTTCAAAGGAATTCAGAAGCGCATTTCGAAGCCAGTATTGGTTACAGTAACTGAAAGGTGTTATAGATGTTAAAGAGCAAAAACTGGTGGGGTGCCCGTTTTCTACGATGACATTTTTTCCCATACAAAACTTAGACCATTCTAACACACATGTGTATTTGAGTGGACATACCCTGCAAAAATCTTTGGACCATGTGGTCCATTTTTGGCATATTGGAGTACTTACAAAATACTGCTATGAAATTCAATAGCGGACCAACTCGGGTCTCTACACCAGTACCCGATTATTGGGCTATGTACTCCATGGAGTATCCCCATGGAGAAGTGTTATGCTAATCTGTATTACAGAGCTGGAATTCAAGTTTCAGGTAATTTTGCTGTACATCTCTATCTGAACTTTTGCGAATCATTTCACTCTATTCCTGTATACTATTTTACATTGCTCTAATTCGCCACCATCACCTACTAATATGTTCAAATGTGCACTCACATAGTGATTGGTGAAAGCTGATTAGCACACCTAATCAGCGGCGCTGTGTCATTTAGTGTGTATTTTATGTGTACCACAGATGCTTTAGCTGTTGTTGTGCCTAATTTTGATAATATACTTTTACGATTACCATAATATTGTAAGCCATTACAACATTTAAGTAGCCCTTCAAGGATAATGTCCTTATGTTTGTAAGTGAAGCAAAAGACAATTTTGTTAGATATCACTTTTTTGTTTTCAATTATCCATCAATTTGATTCATGGCAGTTTATAAACCAACTACTTTTATATCATCGCTGGGCGCGCATTAGCTCGTATTCGCCACATGCAATACCACGTATGAGCTGGCATGGTCTCAACGATTCCCTACTTTACAAACCATTCAAAAGTGTTGAATTAAGTAAGTTTCTTCGTTTTTTTGTGAAGTTTTCGGACTAACTTATACGAGGTATTGCATTTTTCGGATACGAGGTATTGCACTCCAAGCGACGATATAACACACATTTTTCGATAACAGATAGGATTATACCTCAAACTTTTTCTATTAGCTTCATACCACTGAGCCATAGTCGGTGGTGGCAACAGGCTATACCGCGGGAGAGCATGTTAAATAGGGTAGAAATTCTACCGTTTCATCACCGCCTACAACTTGAAAAAGGCATTATTAAACCGGCAGACTTTTCCTTTTAATTACCTATTTAGTAGTCCACAGGAGCACCTTTTGAATTTCGTGCTTCTCTGTTGCATCTCAAGTTGGACATTTTGAATGGTAGTAAGCAAGGTTCTCTTATCTTCAAGTGTTAAGGGTGACTTAGTTGCGCGGCTTAGTTGTAACATCAGATATTTACAGCCCGATTCTGTGCACTTGATAAATTGAAAATCTTTATAATTTGTCATTTTTTTATTATTTATCAAGAATTGGTATTCTAGCACAGAAACCAAAAGCTTTTTTCTTGATAAATTATCAAGATTGAAAATGCTATTGACAAATTGAAATTTCATGTGAAATGTAGACATTTTGTATATTAATAAATTTGTTTCTAACAATTAAATACTCCATGTGCCGGCATTTGAACCTGCGACACACGGAATTATAGTCGACATCTCTAGCTACTCGGCTACGACAGTCAAAAGCTTTGTTGCTTTTAAATCAATATTTTTCATATGTGACAATGAAATCAGTTCCACACATGTGGAAATCAGTTCCACTTATGTGGAAATCGTAGAGCTTTTTGTTTTATAATTATTGACACAGAATACGAGGGAAGCTTTTACTTGATAAAAATCTTGATAAAATTTCTTTACAAAAAATTTATCAAGAAAACACAGAATTGGGCCGTTAGTTTTCAATACGTTCGGTTTCAGATCAGTACGCTTTACTTCAGAATAAAAATCGAGGAAAGCTCTGCGCACACAACTGCTGTTGTCAATAAAGTATGTAGCCGCATCAAGGTCCCAAGTCGCTCGCCGGTAGCACTTGGGGCAAAGACAAAGAATCGTTGTTGGAAATATACAAGACAATTGACCGGCCGCCGGAGACTAGTTGGACGAAGTGGAGGCGGCTACAGACGTATCAGAAAGCAGCACTCCGCACAGCGACAGGATGCTGCCTTCTGATGTCGCCTGAACACCACATGCACAATGCGGCCCAAATACTTCCCGTAAGGGAGCATAACGAAATTCTCAGCGGGAGTGTTCCCTTACTCGAGAAGGAGCGTCCGCACCTTTTCGTTTACATGGACGATGTCCGGACATGCATTAACCAACCACTGGACCCGACTAGTGTTCAACGGCATTCATAAGGAAGTGGGTCACCACCTACCACGATTCTCGACCCATGAGTGCCGGGAGTCTAATCTCCCCCAATCGCAGACTCGGAGCTCGAATT